ATACGCTGTATTTCTTTTTCTTGCCTGATTAGTCTGGCTAGAATTTCCAATACTATATTGAATAGGAGTGGTGAGAGAGGGCATCCTTGTCTAATGCCAGATTTCAAAGGGAATGCTTCCAGTTTTTGCCCATTCAGTATGATATTGGCTGTGGGTTTGTCATAAATACCTTTTATTATTTTGAGATATGTTCTGTCAATACCTGATTTATTGGGAGTTTTCAGCATAAAGTGCTACTGAATTTTGTCTCTGTATCTATTGAGATAATCATGTGGTTTTCGTGTTTGGTTCTGTTTATGTGGTGAATTACGTTTATAGACTTGCATATGTTGAACAAGCCTTGCATCCCCAGGATGAAGCCTACTTGATCATGATGGATAAGCTATTTGATGTGCTTTTGCAATCAGTTTGCCAGTATTTTATTGAAGATTTTTGCATTTATGTTCATCATAGATATTGGCCTGAAGTTTTCTTTTCTTGTTGAGTCTCTGCTAGGTTTTGGTATCAGGATGATATTGGTCTCATAAAATGATTTGGGAAGGATTCCCTCTTTTTGTATTGTTTGGAATAGTTTCAGAACGAGTGGTACCAGCTCCTCTTTGTATGTCTGGTAGGATTCGGACTTGCGGTTTTTTTGGTTGGTGGGCTATTAATTGCTGCCTCAACTTCAGCCCTTGTTATTGGCCTGTTCAGGGTTTCAACTACTTCCTGGTTTAGTCTTTGGAGGATGCAAGGGTCCAGGAATTTATCCATTTCTTTCATGTTCACTGGTTTATGTGCATAGGGTTGTTTGTAGTAATCTCTGGTGGTGGTTTGTATTTCTGTGGAATCTGTGGTGATATCCCCTTTATTGTTTTTTATTGCATCTATTTGATTATTCTCTCTTTTCTTTTTTATTAATCTAGATAGTGGTCTATTTTGTTGATCTTTTTTTTAAAAACCTGCTCCTGGATTTATTGATTTTTGAAGGTTTTGTGTGTGTGTGTGTGTGTGTCTCTATCTCCTTCAGTTCTGCTCTGATCTTAGTTATTTCTTTTTTTTTTTTTTTTTTTTTTTGAGACGGAGTTTCACTCATGTTACCCAGGCTGGAGTGCAATGGCACGATCTCGGCTCACCGCAACCTCCTCCTCCTGGGTTCAGGCAATTCTCCTGCCTCAGCCTCCTGAGTAGCTGGGATTACAGGCACGCGCCACCATGCCCAGCTAATGTTTTGTATTTTTAGTAAAGATGGGGTTTCACCATGTTGACCAGGATTGTCTCGATCTCTTGACCTCGTGATCCACCCGCCTCGGCCTCCCAAAGTGCTGGGATTACAGGCTTCAGCCACCGCGCCTAGCCTGATCTTAGTTATTTCTTGTCTTCTGCTAGGTTTTAAGTTTTTTTGATCTTGCTCCTCTAGCTCTTTCAATTTTGATAATAGGGTGTCGATTTTAGATCTTTCCTTGCTTCTCAATTATGTGAAAAGACCTAATCTACGTTTGATAGGTGTACCTGAATGTGATGGAGAGAATGAATCCAAGCTGGAAAACACTCTTCAGGATATTATCCAGGAAAACTTCCCCAACCTTGTAAGGCAGGCCAATATTCAAGTCCAGGAAATACAGAGAACATCACAAAGATATTCCTCAAGAAGAACAACCCCAAGGCACATAATCATAATCATCAGATTCACCAGGGTTGAAATGAAGGAGAAAAATGCTAAGGGCAGCCAGAGAGAAAGGTCGGGTTACACACAAAGGAAGCCCATCAGACTCACAGCGGATCTGTCAGCAGAAACCCTACAAGCCATAGGAGAGTGGGGACCAATATTCAACATCCTTAATGAAAAGAACTTTTAACCTAGAATTTCATAACCAGCCAAACTAAGTTTCATAAGTGAAGGAGAAATAAAATCCTTTACAAAAAAGCAATTGCTCATAGATTTCATCACCACCAGGCCTGCTTTACAAGAGCTCCTGAAAGAAGCACTAAACATAGAAAGGAACAACCGGTACCAGCCACTCCAAAAACGTACCAAATGGTAAAGAGCATTGACACAATGAAGAAACTGTACCAACTAACGGGCAAAATAACCAGCTAGCATCAAAATGGCAGGATCAAATTCACACATAACAATATTAACCTTAAATGTAAATGGGCTAAATGCCCCAATCAAAAGACACAGACTGGCAAATTGGATAAAAAAATCAAAACTCATCAGTCTGCTCTATCCAGGAAACCCATCTCATATGCAAGGATACACATAGGTTCAAAATATACGGAGGGAGGAAGATTTACCAAGCAAATGGAGAGCAAAAAAACACAGGATTTGCAATCCTAGTCTCTGATAAAATAGACTTTAAACCAACAATGATCAAAAGAGACAAAGAAGGACATTACATAATGGTAAAGGGATCAATCCAACTAGAAGAGCTAACAATCCTAAATATATACGCACCCAATACAGGAGCACCCAGATACAAAAAGCAAGTTCTTAATGACTTACAAAGAGACTTAGACTCCCACACAATAATAGTAGGATACTTTAACACTCCACTGTCAATATTAGACAGATCAATGAGACAGAAAATTAACAAGGATATCCAGGACTTGAACTCAGACCTGGACCAAGCTAACCTAATAGACATTTACAGAACTCTCTACCCCAAATCCACAGAATATACATTCTTCTCAGCACCACATCACACCTACTCTAAAATTGACCACATAATTGGAAGTAAATCACTTCTCAGCAAGTGCAAAAGAACGGAAATAATAACAAACAGTCTCTCAGACCACAGTGCAATCAAGTTAGAACTCAGAACTCAGATACTAACTCAGAACCACACAACTTCATGGAAACTGAACAACTGGCTCTTGAATGTTGACTGGATAAACAACAAAATGAAGACAGAAATAAACATGTTCTTTGAAACCAATGAGAATGAAGACACAACATACCAGAATCTCTGGGACACATTTAAAGCAGTGTCTAGAGGAAAATATATAGTGATAGAAGTCTTTTCTCTTGAAAAGAAAAAAGTAGGTAACCCAGGGCTTTTTACTTTAACATCCAAGCAATGGACTTCTGTCCTCAAGGTCAATTTAAAGTCCAAGATGGCTATTGGAGTGCCAACCATAATGCTTATGGCTGCCTTCCCATAGGCCCCATGAAACACTCTGCTTACTTGTCATGGGCCAGGATTTAGTAAAATGCCCATATCTACCTGCAGGGAAGGCAGAGGAGTATAGTCCATTCACTTAGTAAACTGCTGCCTAGCATTAAATTATATTTTGTTTTGAGGAAAATGAGGGGGAGTAGCAAATGGCAATCTGAATGATGAAAAGTAATGGAGCCATTTAAATGTTAGACCTTGAAGAAATTTCTTAGGGAGCAAAACTAAGTAAAGTTTTATTAGCATCTCATGTCCTCCCAAGACCCAGTGGGAAGAAGCCCTAGTTCAGGAGAGCAGTTATGAGTTAGGGTCAGGGTTAATTTAGCTTCTTCCTTACTGAGGGCAGAGGAGTGAAGTGGCATTGTTCTGAGAGCATGCTGGCTGCCAAGGAAACAGAAAAACATGCACATTTTCTGTAATATTAAGCAGAATGCCAAACTCTATGTACAGTATTATTTCAACCAGGCTTCAATTATGTATAAACACACAGCCAAATATATCTTGTTTCAAAGACTGGAAAATAATTCTCAATTTAAAAAATTATTTTTAATTGTTATGGATACATAATAGTTGTCTACATTTATGGGGTACATGTGATATTTTGACATAAGCATACAATGTATAATGATCAAATCAGGGTAATCACCTCAAACATTATTTGTATTACATTCCAACTTCACTCTTTTAGTTATTCTGAAATAAATGATGATTGTTAACTATAGTCACCCTATTATGCTATGAACACTAGATATTATTCCTTCTATCTAATTGTATATTCGTACCCATTAGCCAACCCCTCTTTAACCCTCCTTCCTACCACCCTTTCCAGTCTCTGGTAACCATCATTCTATTCTCTCTCTGTTTTTTTATACAGCGTCTCACTCTGTTGCCTAAGCTGGAGTGCAGTGGCATGATCTTGGCTCGCTGTAGACTCAACCTCTGGGCTCAAGTGATCCTTCACCTTAGCCTCTTGAGTAGCTGGGACTACAGGCACACACCATCACATCAGCTCATTTTCAAAATATTTTTTGTAGAGATGGGGTTTCGCCATGTTGCCAGGCTGGTCTTAAACTCCTGCCTGCCTCGGCCTCCCAAAGTGCTTGGATTACAGGCACACCTGGCCCATCACACTGTTTTCTATAGTAGCTGTACTACTTTATATTCCCACAAACAGCGTATGAGGGTTCCCCTTTCCTCACATCCTCTCCTGCATTCATTATTGCCTGTTGTTTCAAGAAAAGCTCTTTAAACTGGTGTAAGATAATATCTCATTGTAGTTTTAATTTGTGTTATTTTGACGACTAGTGATATTGAGAATTTCTTCATATACCTGTTGGCCATTTGTATGCCTTCTTTTCAGAAATGTCTATTTAGCTGTTTTTGCCCGTTTTTAATAGGATTGTTTGTTTGCTATTATTTGAGCTCCTAGTATATTCTAGTTATCACTCCCTTGTCAGATGGGTAGTTTGCCAATAGTTCATTGTTTCCTTTGACACGCAGAAACTTTTTAGCTTGATGCAATCCTATTTGTCCATTTTTGCTTTGGTTTCCTGCGCTTTTCAGATCTTAGTCAAGATCTTTGCCCTGGAGTGTTTCCCAATGTTTTCTTCTAGCAGTTTTATAGTTTCAGGTTTTAAGGTTAAGTCTTTAATCCATTTGGAGTTTATTTTTGTATATGGGAAGAGATAGGAGTCTGGTTTCATTCTTCTGCACGTGGATGTCCAGTTTTGCTAGCACCTTTTATTGACGAGTCTGCCCTCTCACCAATGTATGTTCTTGACACCTTTGTCAAAAACGAGTTGATTATAGATGCATAATTTATTTCTGGATTCCCTGTTTTGTTCCATTGGTCTCTGTGTCTCATTTTGTGCCAGTACCGTGTGGTTTTGGTTACTCTTGCTTTGTACTATAATTTGAAATCAGGTAATATGATGCCTCCAGCTTTGTTCTGTTTGCTCAGGAGTACTTAAATGGTTATCAATATTTACCCCTGGGTGGTGGGATTCTGTTTATTTTTACTATAATCTTTTTTGCAAATTTTTACTTCAAGCAAGTATTTTTATACTTAGGAAAAAATCTAATTTTACTTAAAAATAATAAAGGAATGAAGGAAGTAAAAAAGGCAGGTTGTGGGTCTTATTTAATCTATCATTAGACTGTGTCTGGGAGTGATTCAGCAAACAATTACTGAACATCTATAAATATTAGGCACTGTTCTAAGTGTTCAGGGTACAAAGGTACCCTGAGGTACCCTTTGCTTCCTGGAGCTTACATTCCAATTTGTATGTGGGAGTATTAGACAATAACTAATAACTATAATAATGATTTAATATATTAGAGGGTGATATTTGCTATGGGAAAAAAATTGAGATGGGAAAGGAAGATAGGGAACATGGTACAGGGGGATCAGAGCACTGTAGGTTGTAATTGTAACTAGGGTGGTCAGGGGAGGCCTTATGGAAACATAGGACATGGGCATGTAGATGAGGTCTTGGGGACGCCTGGTGCACATCTGTTGAGAGACCACTCCCCCCCAGGCAGAACCACGCCCATACTTAAGAGCCAGCAAGGAGCCCAGCAAGGTGAAAAAGGTGTTGAGTGGGAAGAGCCTGGCAGGAGTCCTGAAGCCTGCTGACCGCTACTCACCGCCACTGACCCTCATGGAGAGGGACAGTACAGCACAAAGAAATTCGGGAGTGTATCTCAGATAGCTGTGAAATCATAAACAAAATGCCAAACAGCCATCTACTTACGATCCACTGAGGGTCATTTTATCTCATATTCCAGTTCAAAGTAATGACCTTGATACTGAAAGGGAAGTGCACACTTCATAAACAAGTTGAAAAACAGGTTTGATTTTCCTGGACTCTGCCTTACAATAATAGAGAAATGGGCTGTTGCCAAGAGACAGAACAGGGAGAGAGAGGGTTTGACAGGAGGCTCATCAACTGATCAAGAGGGCTTTACATTAATATTTGATGAGGAGAGAGAAAAAAATTTAGATAAAACTCATAGCTAGTTATGATGGAGAATCTTGGGCATTGAAACAGAAGGAATAACAATGGTGAATGTCTCCAGCTGATCTCTGGAGAAAGTAAGAAAGGTTTGGTAGCAAAACATATGATTTCAGATATGGGCTAAGCATGGATAAAGAAATGAATGTGATACTTCATATAAAAATAAAATATTTTGGCTGGGGACAGTGACTCAGACCTATAATCCCAGCACTTTGGGAGGCCAAGGCAGGCAGATCTCTTGAGCTTAGGAATTTGAGACCAGGCTGGGCAACATGGTGAAACCCCATCTCTTCTAAAAATACCAAGATTAGCCAGGTGTGGTGGCATGTGCCGGTGGTCCCAGCTATTCAGGAGGCTGAGGTGGGAGGATCTCTTAAACATGAGAGGCCGAGGTTGTAGTGAGCCAAGATCATGCCACTGCACTCCAGCCTGGGGAAGAGAGTGAGACTCTGTCTCAAGATAAATAAATAAATAAATAAATAAATAAATAAATAAAACAGCTTACATTTATTGAGTACTTAACATGCTCACAGTAAGAAATACTTTAACTATAAAAGCTAATATTTATTGCGTGCTCACTATGTACAGAGAATTACCTCCTGTAATCCTCCCAATCCTATGAAAGTATCCACATTTTGCAGATGAGGAAACTGAGGGTTAAAGAGGTTATGTAGCTGTAATAAAGAGCCCAAAGCCCAACCTAGATTTACCTGACCCGAAAGCTCACTTCTTAACTAGGCCTCCTGAGAGTGGTGAAGGGTAGCCATGCTGTTTTAAAGACCATATATTAGGCTGGTCCTAAAGTAATTGTGGATTTTTTTTTTTTTTTGCACCAATCTAGTAGTTAATAAAGAGAATTCCAGGAAGAACTAGTCACATATTCAACTTAACCAAAAAAGAATGATCTTGTGGCCAGTACCTCCAAAAGGCTGGACATCTCAAGAGGCTCAGAAGGTTGTAAAAATTAATGTTTTGTTAATATAAACATAAATAATTCAATCTTCTTTGCGCATGTGTATGTGTACATGCAGAAAACAGTACGGAGAAATTAACAATTTGGTTATCCGGGGCACTCAGATTTTAAAAGCACAAAAGAAACAACAAAGACCTCATAATAACAGTCTCAGAAAAAGCTGAGACTTGTAAAAATCCTAAGGACAACCCAGATAATTGTTTCAGTTGTGTTCAGAGCAAGAAGAATAAGAAAAAGGCCAGGCTAAGTGCTTGAGGCAGATGGTGTAGCATCACAAACAGGGACCACAGTGCTAGAAGCCAAGTGGAGACATTAAGAGCAATTGCCATCAAGCTCCCATTTTCTTTTTTTATGGAATTACCAAGCAGGTAATGTAGTGTAGCTGGATCTGAGCAAAACGTTTTTCCAGAGCTCTCACAAAACTCTCATAGGCAAGATGTGGGAACACAGGTGGCTTCCTAACTCACTAAACAACTAAGCACAAAGAGGCTTAAGTGTACTATGCTGGTCTGAAGGCAGGTCGTGCCTGTGTTCCATCCTCTTCAATACTTGCATATCAAATTTGTTTTGAGAGGGCATGTTATCACACTCACAGATGACACAAAGCTGGGAGAGTGCCTAATATGCTAAGTGACAGACTCAAGTGGCAGAAATATCTGGTAGGCTGAGGCTAGCAAGACACAGTTTGATGCATATCTATGTAAATTTCTTGCTTTGGAAAATCATTTGGACTAGTACAAGACGTGAGAGGTTTGACTTTCAGTATTCACCTGAAAAGAACCTGGGAATATTTGCTCACAGAGAAACAAGGAATCAAGGACAGGGCCTGCCAAAGGGTCTTCGCAGTCTTTGGCTGTGTTCATACAAGTAAGGTATTCAAATTGAAGAAGGGCACATGCACAATCAGACCAGGGAATACTACTCAGTGAGAAACAAAACAACTTCAGTGACTCTCCAGAGAACTGGGAAATTATGCAGAGTAAAACAAGTCAATTCTACATCACGCAGTATATGATTCCACTAATACAACATTCCCCCAAATAACAAAATTATAAAAATAGAAAACAGATTAGTGGTTGCCAGGGTCAGGGTGGGATGGTGAGAAGGGAGGTGGAGGTGGCTGTAAAAGGGCAATATGAGATATCTTTGTGGTGATTGAAATGCTCTGTACCTTTTCTTCCTTCTGTTTTTTTGAAACAAAGCCTTGCCATGTCACCCAGCCTGGGTACAGTGGTGCAATCACAGCTCACTGTACCTCGACCTCCTGGGCTCAAGCTGTCCTCCCACCTCAGCCTCCCACAGTGCCAGGATGACAGGCATGAGCCACTGTGCCTGGCCTGTTCTGTATCTTGACTGTGTCAATGTCAATATTCTGGTTGTGATATTATACTATAATTTTGCAAGATGTTACCACAGGAGAAAACTGGGTGATATAAAGGATCTCTCTATAATATTTCTTACATCTGCACATTAATTGGCAATTATCTAAAAATAAAAATTTAAATTTTTTTTGTAAATTGGGAGTGTGGGTGGAGGATAGAGGTAGGGGTGTGGGAGGAGAATGAATAATCTAGACAAGATTCCCATGAAAGATTCATCCTAGACAAAGAAGAAAGCAGGCACCGTAACATCGACCTGTCAGACCGTAACGTCCAAGGCAGCAGGAGCTGTGCCCTTCTTTGTCACTGGAGTGCCTCAAACTGCACTGACATATCAGGGCTTGAGACAAGAGTTTCTCTCTACCCAAGTAGTAGCATTAAGAGATTAAGGAACAATGAGTTGTCCAACTCTGCTTGATTCCTCAATTTTGAGCAACAAAGAATTCATCCAAAATATGCCCTTGACTCCATTTGGTTCCTGAGTTGACTGAGGAGACTGACAGAGACTGAGAGCATAAGAAAAAAGCCCAGAGCAAAGATACTGAGTGGAACTTTACAGACTTGCATGGGTATTAAATGCATCCATCCCAAGCCCTCCCCGCCTAAGAGATAACAGCTGACCTCGGTGTCTGAGTTAACCTCTCTCACACTGGAGTCATGTTAACACTGCTTTGGGAGCCTCTAACACCGTGTAATTCCATGGAGAGAGAGACACTCCCCTGTTCTGCCATAGACCAGCAAATATCCTTGACAGCCTGGGGACTGGGAGCAAATGCTACCAGAGACCGGGGGGGGCCTGTGGCTACAAGAAAGAGAACGGAGGTGGCAGCACAGTGGGGTATGCGCAACTGCCCAGGGCAGTGTGACACTCACCAGGGCCCCAGAATCAGGGAAGCCAGCAGAAGGGAAACTTATGAGTGGCCTTGTTCCTGAGACACATGTGAAATACCTCCTGGGGACTCCCAGAACCAATCAAGAGAGAGGGAATTTGCAGGAGACTGAGCAGGTGGAAACCAGAATCAGGTAATTGGGACTTTAGATTTTTTTTTTTTAATTGGTGTTACTATATACAATATTGTTCCTAATTTTCACTCGAGAGCTAGATTTGGGATCAGAAGACCTCAACCCCAAGCTTCAGGCTTTTTGTCTTTTATACTGGCATAGTAATGTCTGCTCTGACTACATCACAAGGCTGTTGCTTTATTTATTTATTTAAGATACCAGGTCCTGGGCTGGGCATGGTGGCTCACACCTGTAATCCAAGCACTTTGGGAGACCGATGTGGGCAGGTCACCTGAGGTTGGGAGTTCAGTTTCTGCCTAACATGAAGAAACCCTGTCTCTACTAAAAATACAAAATTAGACAGGCATGGTGTCGCATGCCTGTAATCCCAGCTCCTTGGGAGGCTGAGGCAGTAGCACCCGGGAAGCGGAGGTTGTGGTGAGCCAAGATTGCACCATTGCACTCCAGCCTGGGCAACAGCAGCAAAATTCCATCTCAAAAAAAAAAAAGATACAGGGTTTTGCTGTGTTGCCCAGACTGGAGTGCAATGGCTAGTCATAGCCCACCACAGCCTAGAACTCCTGGGTTCAAATGATCTTCCTACTTCAGCCTTTCAAGTAGCTGGGACTTTAGGTGCATGTCATAGCACTCAGCTTTAGACTATTACTTTGAGAATTACATGAAATAATACAGGTAAGAAAGCTTTTGAAATCAGCAAGTACTACCTGTATGTACTTTTTGATATCATCATCTTACGAATGCTTCATTACCTCCACTGTAACTTCCATCCTATATTCTCTCTTCTGAAGGCTGAGTAATTTTTAAGCCCCCTTTTTGTGCCCTCTATAAAATACTGTGGTATTTCAGGTCCTGTGCGACCTGAAAGTATTTGAGGCACACGTATGTGATGGTCTTTACCTCTCCGACATCACCTAACAGTTGTCCTGGGACCAGAATCTTCTGCAATTCCTTGGCCTGGTGCCCAGGGCTCTGCTAAGGGTCGGACCATGGGCATGGGGCTAAATGTGGAGAGAGAGGAGCCAGTTACCCAGGGGCTGGAAATTAGAACATAAGCTCAAGGTTTAGGCTCCTTGTATTAGTCTGTTTTCATACTGCTCTAAAGAACTGTTGAAGACTGGGTAATTTATAAAGAAAAGAGGTTTAATTGACTCACAGTTCATCATGGCTCCGGAGCCCTCACAGAAAACTCACAATCATAGTGGAAGGCGAAGGGGAAGAAAAGCACCTTCTTCATGAGGCTGCAAAAAGGCGAGGCAAGGAGGAAGAACCCCTTATAAAACCATGAAATCTCGTGAGAACTCAATCACTATCACAAAAATAGCATGGGGGAAACCACCGCTATGATTCAATTACCTCCACCTGGTCTCTCCATTGACACGTGGGCATTGTGGGGATTATAATCCAAGATGAGATTTGGATGGGGACACAAAACCTAACCGTATCAGTCCTGATAGTCCAATTTATAAAATTTTACAAGGCCATTACCTGGAAATTAGGGCGTGGTAGCAAATCCTGAAAACGAGGTTGCTAAGAGCCAAGAAATCAGAGGCCCTACATTTGGCACCACCTCCTCAACAGGAACCTGCCTCCACTTAGGGCTGATGCCACAGGTTGGGGCTTCCTGCGCCAGGTTCCAGGCAGGGAAACAGAGCCAGCTCCTCACACATGCTTCAGGCAGGCAGCGGAAGAGCAAAAAGAGACCCCCATGCCCTTTATTCCAGCAGCTCTGGGGAAAAGTTTACTTCCAAGCACTAATTCAGAGTCATCAATTAAGTCAGTCACTTACTAGATGTGGGACTCAGGCTTCAACCTATTCCTCTGAAACAGGAATAGTGTGCCTATTCTAATATCTTGCAGGCAGCAGATAAAACAATCAGGTGTGTCCTTTTTTTAAAAAAAACAATTGAGAGTTTTTAAAAAAACAACTAAAAATCCTTTTGTAAATTTAAAGCATACAAATGCAAAGGATATATATTTCCTTTAGCCTAGGGTCCCCAGGTCCTTAATAAGGAAGGCCAGCCATGATTGTTTGCTGGGATGCACCTTTCATTTAGAGAAGCAGCTGAAGAAGTCTTGTTTTGTTTTGTTTTGTTTTCCAGTATTAAAAGACCTTTTAGAAACACATTGGAAGTCCTAAGCTTTTACATTTGCTCGTAAGCCTTTAAATTAAAGCAAAGGAAAAATTATTTCAATTCCTGAAAAGATAGGCATTAAAAGGAACCACCAAATAAGGGCAAACCTATTTTCCAGGTGCTAGAAAATGGTGAGGAGTGGTATCGTCTCCGCAAGGCCAGGTGTGTAAATAGAACATGGTACCCGAAAGCCTGGGGAAAGAGGTGAGAACAGGATACAAAGGGCTCAGCCCTCCAGGCATCCAAATGCTGCTGCAGGTTAGGGCTCCCTCCCTGCCTCCTGACTGTCCAATTTCCCTCTCCCCTTTCTCCCTTTCTTCCTTCTGCAGAGCTCCTAAATCAGGATTTCTTGAGAAACAGGCCACTGGAGCTTCAAGGCAGAAGTCCCCACCATCTTAAGGAGCCTGGAGGTCATGATTCCATGCCAAGGTGGGAATCAGACTCCATCTGGGACTTTCCAGCCTAGGCAGGGTTAGACATTTTCTCATCTTGGCTCCCATAGGCCTGGGCCTGCAGTCCTCTTCAGCATCTCTCTCACAGCACTGGAGCCATTTGTTCAACAGAACGCACCCTTCCTGACCTGTGAGCTCTTCCAGAGCACGAATAGGGGAGCATAATGGTTTGGCACCCGACCTTTGGTGGCGGAGAAACCTAAGTTCACACCCTGAGTAGGCCCCGGGGGGCTGTGTGATTTTTCTGGGAGAATGAAATTAGATACCATTTATAAAAATCTGGACTTATGGTATAACCAATATGTGGCAGCTGCTATGACTGTAACTTCTGCTGTATACAAGTGATAATCGATTTTATCTGTTAGGATTCAGTGGAGGAAACAAATTGCTTTACTTAAATTGAGTAGGAAGGGATTTAGTCAAGAGATAGGTGCTTGCAAAACGGTTAGAAGGGCTGAAGGAGCAGGTTCTAGGCGGGGCTCACAAAGCAGTACAGAAATGAACCACCAGGGCCAGGCATGGGGGCTCACACCTGTAATCCCAACACTTTAGGAAGCTGAGGCGGGCAGATCTCCTGAGATCAGGAGATCAAGACCAGCCTCACCAACATGGAGAAACCCCATCTGTACTAAAAGTACAAAATTAGCCAGGCGTGGTGGCACATGCCCATAATCCCAGCTACTCAGGAGGCTGAGGCAAAAGAATTGCTTGAACCCAGGAGGCAGAGGTTGTGGTGAGCTGAGATCGCACCACTGCACTCCAGCCTGGGCAACAGGAGCAAAACTGTGTCATAAAAAAAAAAAGAAACAATGAAAGAAATGAAGCGCCAGGGAAGTTGCCACCTCTCGGGCACCTCTGGAGCTATGGTAGAATCCAGAAGTGACTGCTGCCTCTGCTACAATTCCTGCCTCTCAATACCCAAGAAGCTGGAGAATGGACTCTGGAGCTCTGATGCAGAAAAACCTCACATTTCCCCAGCTTTGCTGACCAGCAAAATGACTACGAAGGAGCGCAGCTTCCACCTTGCAGGTCTTGCCCTGTGTGCCTCTACTTGGCAGAAGACAGCTTGCATTTAGAGCCCTGACTGCAAAGGAGCCTGGGAATCGTGGTGCTCAGCTCTGCAACTTCACTCAGCAAGAGGTGGGAATGAAGGTTGGGTGACCTTCCACAGCACAGCTGTCCCTTCCAGCTGTCATTGGCCACACAGCACCACAGCTAGAGAAGCGCTCATTTCACAAATGAGGAAGCAGAGCCTTTAGGAAGTTACCTTGTCTGTCCCAGGTCACAGAGGAAGGGGTGAAGAAGGAATGTGAACAGGTTCTATCTTATTCTAAGCCTATGCTCTTAACTCTCATTTTATCTAACACTCCCTGCATCTTGAACACCTAACCCAGCGTGTGGCCACACCTACTGAATGAATGTTGGAGGGGTTCCTTCGGCATGAGTTTAAACAAAAAATTATACCAACCCAGAATGCTCTGACCTAGAGAAAGTGTCTTTACCTCCTGAGTGTGATCCAGGTCAGAAGGCAGGAGGCCGACTGAGGGACACGGAGCAGTATAGAAATGAGCCACCATAACAGAGGTGTGCCCACTCACAGCGCAAGGCAGAGCTGTGTGCACACATCAAGCAGAGAAATGGGGCCAGAATATGGGGCAAAGGCCTATGGATGGGATGGAGGATTTGGATGTGGGCCACCTCTTCCAGCTCCTGAAAGAGGACCAGGCAATGTGGCTATAAATGGGCCTAATGAGAATTGATTGATTCACTCAAGAGATGTTTTCTTTTTCCTTTTCTTTCTAAAATAGAAAATGACATACCCCATGATTCATGCACTCTGGTGCCTGTGATAATGGCCTCTTCAGTGCACTGACTCTGCCGATAACTAGACACTCGTCCTCTGCAGAGCTGTTGCGTGCCACACCCTAGGCACATAGCGACCCTGAAGGCTTTCAAACACCTGCTGCAGAAAGCGCTTTCCACACTGTCTCTGGGACATGAGGCACAGTTCCCAGGAGTGTTGCCTGGAATAGGTGCTAAGGCCTGAGGAAAGAGCCCAGAGTGTAGGCCTGAGGGGCAGCGGTCAGCACACAGGAGTTAACTCACACACACACAAAACCCAATAAACACCACAGACACACACACACACACACACACACACACACACACACACACAAAACCCAATAAACACGACAGAGCCATACACACACACACAAAACCCAATAAACACCACAGAGACACACATACACACACACACACACACACACACACAACCCAATAAACACCAGAGACACACACACACACAACCCAATAAACACCAGACACACACACACACACACACACACACAACCCAATAAACACCACAGAGACACAGACACACACAACCCAATAAACGCCACAGAGACACACACATGCGCACACACACACAACCCAATAAACACCACAGAGACACACACACGCACACACACACACACACAGACACACCACGCACAGACACATACACCACATATACAGACACAGACACACAGACACAAACATGCACACTACACACATGCATAGCCCACATAAACACTCACAGAGCCACAAACATACACAGCACAAAACTACAAATAGACCACACACAAACACAGAGAGAGACATACACCACACATACAACACATGTAAACATGCAGCTACACACATACACAACCCAATAAACACCCACAAACCCACAAACATACATAACAAATACACACACAGACACACCACCCACAGACCCAGAGAAACACATATACCACACATACACACCCCATACACACATACACACAAACGTGCACACCCAATACATCCTCACACGCAATACATACACCATACATGTACATATGAAGACACTCATGTACACCACACATGCATATACACACAGACACAAACATAGGCAGTGCGTACACACCACACACATACGCATGCTCATGTACATACTCTACTTCTCAAAAAGTGTCTCATTACAGGATAGCCATATCCTAAAAGTCTTAAAATAATGGTTATGTGGCCTAGGAATGCAGAAGGTGTGTATACGAAACAGTAGAAGGGATGAAAGAGAGCATCAAAAATGGCAACTACACAAAGATACAATCTCCGTTGAAATGCACGCATGGTACTTATTGGGACTGGAGGACAATGCAGGCAACACAAATAACTGATATTTAGTAATCTTTGGATTGTTCCTTGTGAGCTGATTCAGCTGAACAGCACATTTTTTCAAGTGGCTTCCCTTTAGGCCCTGTACACTCACCATGTGGCCACTGATTTACGTCCACTGAGCAGCATCTGCCAAGTGTCTACATTACCTTCCTCCCTTCTGAATGTACCTGCTGGGGAACAGCCCTGTGGCGCCCCTGCAGCACCTGTTTGATGATAGAGCTTGGCACCCCGTCCTTCTCATTCTTCCAAGCTCCTTTCCTGCCCAAGTCCGGAAAGTCCCACAGTTCTTGTCTCATAGTACAAACAGGGAAATTCAGGGATTTGGTGCTGACTTTAGTTAGATCCCGGCTTTCCAGAGCCCTGATTTCTTCCAGGGCTACAACAGTTTATCTCTGTGTGCCCAGGGGGCGCTCAGGCCCAGGAATTGAGAATATTAGATATTCCCTTCAGTATTTCTAAGTTCCTGTAGGGATAGTGGGAAATTGAAGTTAAGAAATTACCAGCAGGTGAGAATGACAGTTGGGGATTATTGACCAAGAAGGAAAGGACGGATGGGCTGGTTGTGAATATACCTTCAAGACCTGTTATCTGACTGAACTTGAAAGCTAGAGGGGAACATACAGAGACCGCCAGCTATAACCCCTTAATCTCCCAGATGTGGAATCTGAGGCCAGAAGAGCGAAATGATATGTCTAGAGTCAAAACCAAATGGAAGTGACTTTGTGATCGCAAACGTAGAATTCTTCCCTAATGGAGCACTGGTTACCATTTTCTATCTTTTGACTCTGTGGTATTATTTTACTGACTCAATGTATGGACCAAGCTATTATTCTGGATATGAGATTTTATTAGAGAAGCTAACCAATTAAACATACTTAATTTAGGACTTTCCATTTTATTAGATGAATATTACATTCCTACTTTCTTTAAAGCAGGAGATGTTTGTGTGGGACAGCTGTCCCTTTTACATAATATAATATAATATAGAATATCATATAAAAGGTACAACACAAGTTGGCTGTTATATTATATATTATGTTATATATATTTACATAATGTATATTAATATACATTTATACATATTAATATATATTAAATTATATAACATAATATATTATATATAAAATAACATGTTATATAACATATAAAATAATATAACATATGTTATATAACATAATATAAAATATATTACTATCATGTTATATAATATAGTATTATATATTATAGAAAAGGCACAACACATGTTGGTTGTCCAACACAAACATCTCCGGCTTTAAGAAAGTTCAAAATACAAACATAATAAAAGTATGATTGTCTCGTTACAATGAGTATTATACAGTAGGTTTTTTGAAAAATACATATTTCAACACTGACGTTTTCAGGGAAAAACTGGTATAACTCAAGAAAAATAATGAATGTATATATGTGCTTTTGGCAACCTAATAATTCACAAGTAAGTGTGTGTTTTTACTAGATTTATAAAACAGCAAGAAACAGGAAAGATGTGTGGATTAGTAATGGGAAACAGAGGTCAACTTTCCATTTGCCATAATTCCAGCCTTACATGAATCCCTTAGCCTTTGTGAGCTGCTATGTCCTCCTCCAGAAAATAACAAGACAAGACTGGACCAAATGAGTTCTGTGGGCTTGTCTTAATCTGTTTCTGTTGCTTACAACAGGATACCTGAAACTGGATTATTTATAAAGAAACGAGCTTTATTTCTTATAATTCTGGAGGCTGAGAAGTCCAAGGGCATGTCTCAGCATTCCATGAGGGCCTTCTTGCTGAAGAGGACCCCTCGAAAGAGTCCCAACCTGATATAGGGCATCATATGGTGAGGGGGCTGAGTGTGCTTGCTCAGGTCTCTCTTTCTCTCTTTTTTATTCCTTAAGTTTGTATTTGTAGAGATAAGGTCTTGCTATGTTGCCCAGGCTGGTATCAACCTCCTGGCCTCAGCAATCCTCCTGCCTCAGCCTCCTAAAATACTGGGATTACAGGAGTGAGCCACAGCACCTGTCCTATTTCTCCTCTTATACAGCCACTAATGCAATTTTCATAATAACGCATTAATCCATTAATCCATGCATGGAATAATTCAGTCCTGAGGGGAGAGCCGTCATTACCCAATCACCTCTTAAAGGCCTCACCTCTCAATACTGCTAAACTGGGGACTAAGTTTCAACAGGAATTTTGAGGGGATGATCATTCAAACCATAGCAGGGGTCTCCTAAGGTTGCAAAGCAGAGTGGCAATGCAGAAATTCCATGACAGGGAAGCCAGACCTACTTGAGTGGGTTGATCTTCATTCGTCTTTGATCACCTTCCCAGAGCTGCAGTTCCTCTCTTGATTATAAAACGTGTACTATCCACCTGGCAGGACTACTTACATGTTAAATGAAACAATGCCCACAAAGTGCCTAGCCATTCCCTGCGCATCACTGATGTTCAGTAATTTTCAGGGTTTTTTTTGAGGCAGAGTCTCGCTCTGTCACCCCAGGCTGGAGTGCAGTGGTGCAATCCCGGCTCACTGCAACCTCCACCTCCCAGGTTCAAGTGATACTCCTGCCTGAGCCTCCTGAGCAGCTGGGATTACAGCCCCCCCGCCACCACGCCCAGCTAATTTTTTGTATTTTTAGTAGAGACGGGGTTTCATCGTGTTAAACAGGATGGTCTCGATCTCCTGACCTTGTGATCCGCCCTATATCCACCTCCAACTTTGCCATTGTAACCATTGATAACCACATCAAATATACAAAGAATTCATAGCATCTATCTGACTCAGAGTAGCATTTGGAGATTCGGTAGTGAAAGACAATGTCATCCTTCCACGAAATGCCTTTTGCTTTCAATGTGGGAGGGGCAGAAGCTAGCCTGCATATAGGGCACCCTGCCCTCACTCCCCTGCCACCACAGTTGGCAACTTTTAGGAGCATATTCTTCCCCTACTGGGGCTGATTTTTATTGTTTTCCCTTCTCTTCATTGAGTTGTGCTTACTTGCCTCTTACTTCATTTTGTTGAGATTCATACGCACGCACACAACACATATATTTGCCTGCCTGACCCTTCAGTCGTGGATCATTTCCTGCCTAAATCATTTCCCCGGGCTCCCCTCCCCTTCATCTGGCTGACCCTTCAGCTTTCCTCATGGAAACTTTTCTGACCCTTCACCACTCTTCCTATTTGCTTTTATAGCACCCTATGTTCTTCCTTCCCGGCACTTACCATGATCACAATCACATAATTTATTTGTGTCATATTAGTCTGTCTCCCTTTCTAGGCTGCAGGTTCCAAGAAGGCAGAAAGCTTGTCTCTTTTGTTCACTGATCTGTCCCTAAGACTTGCAGTGCTTAGCATCTAGTAGGGGCTTCAGAAATATGTGTGGAGTGGATGGATGGGCAAATAAATGAAAAGTGAATGAATGAATGAGGCCCAGAAGCTGGCTTTCATCCATAGGAGTGGACTCGCTCCGTGGTGGCAGGTCTGCCCTTTTCCTTATTTCATATAGAGCTTCATCTTCACTCTTGCTGTTGGCAGAATTCCTCCACAGCTTCTCCTACACTCTCTTAAAAAAAATTGATTTACTAGTAACATGAACATTTCAACCAGAAAGATTCTAGAGAAGCGCAATCTTGCTCAAACTGTGGCTTAAACACACATTCATGATACCCTCTGTGTCTTCTAATAGGGCACAGAAATCTGTTTTGGGGTAGCCCATGTGGTTATTAAGAGAAGTAGGATAGTTAAAGGAACTTATGAATGACGGAACCCATTTTAGATTCCACGTTGACAATTTTTCCAGCCCAACAATTCACCGCTAAAGATTCTGCATGCATCATTTGGGGGTCCCTCTTCTGCTTGTTGGATTTCCTCCCCTCTTTGTGCCCCCAGTTAATTGAATGAGCAGGTGAGAAGAAAGGAGCTCCTTAAAAGGAAGGTGTGGGTTTAAGTCAAAACAGCCTTTTCTCCCACTGACAACTGCCCCATAGAACATAAAGAGTGCTTGAGATCTGGAGAGAACAGGGCAGAGGGGAGCAGAAAGTAAGGCAGATCCGTGGGTTTTTTTCTCTACATGTTTCTGTCCTTAATAAAATAGCAACATGAAGCCTTCTCGGCTGAATGGGTGATTTTCCGCTTCCAGTCCTGTCTAAGAATCAGGTTGAACAATTGCAGGCAGCGATGTAAGAAATCGTTTCTGAAATAATGTTCTGTAGCTCTGCTGTGTTTGGGTCAGCCCTCAGGCTTCCTGACAATAGATGTTTTCTCGTTTCCTCCCGATCTGATGCAGTGCTATGGTGACTGTGCTGAGCAGACATGAGTACCCGCCTCTCAAACTCCCAGAGGTAAACTGGCATTATGAAGGAACAATGGCCCAAGGTTACGTGGAGGGAATATATTGAAGGATGCTGTGTTTAATTTCACTGCTTCCGTGAATGGTCTTCAAGATGAATAGCTTCAAGATTCCTGTGATTTTTCATTTCTTTTTTCTTTAAATAGCATATCAGGGTCCCCCAGTTTAGCCTAAATAGCATTCATTTCAGCAATTCAGATCTGTCTGGGTATGTGTCACAGAAAGGCGGGGCAAGGGTCACTTTGGAAGGGTATTTTGGGGGCTGGAGTCTATACCCTGGGGTGGAATGGGTTTGGGTCCTTCGGACATCAGCAGGCCCCTCCCTTGGCTCCAGGTAAAAAGAAGCCGCACACTGAAGCGGCAATAGACAGTTTTCAGAAGCTAGAAGAGATGCGAACAACACAATTTGATGCCAGAGAGAGAAAAGGTAACTCAAGTGGGAAAGAGCAACATTCTGTCTGCTTCGGTGCTAATATTGCGGCATTTGGGGGATCCCGAATTCTTCTGAGACTATAACTGTCTATATCTTTGGGGACATGGGGGCAGCAGCATTGGCAGACATTAACACCCTCATGGGGCAGAGTCCAGTGGGATCACATGAGCACATGCAAAAGACCCCTGAGGCTTCCTGATAAAACGTAGGGGAGAGATCTCACAGACAGGGTGGAGGATGCAGGAGCCCATGGACAGAATCGCCATGGTTAACGTGACCCTGTTTGGACCCTTGACTCAGTGTAGAACAGGGAAAGCACAAGTCACAGGAGAATTATAAAATGTCAGTGCCGTGAAAGATCTTAACAGTTATCTAGTCAAATATCCCTCATGATACAGGCGATGCTAGCAAGGCCCAAAGAGGATAGGCTACTCACCCTTGCTTGATGGCCAGTTCACAACATAACCAGGGTAGAACTTAGTTATCCGGAGGCTCAGCCCATGACACATGAGGGACTCCTGACATTCTTCACATGTTTGTAAGGCATTGAGGATTTCTGTTGTCCATGGACAGAAAGTGTCTTCTAGGCATATACTAATTTGAGGGAAGCCCAGGATACCTTAAGTCAAATGGAACTTGGGTTGTGGGCGGGAGGATTCTGTCCAGGGCACTCTTTTGGGAAGGCCCTGTTAGGTGGAGCTTTGCTGGTATTTACTGTAAGAAGGTGCAGCTTCAACTCTGGCTGGGTAAGGTCAGAAAGGAAAAGGAGTAGCCTCCTAGAAATAGTATCAGCTGGATCTTGGCTACCTCTGCTCATATCTTCACAGACACCTGTCCTTGCTGAACACTGGATTCACCCAGAGTCTGCCAGGACTGGGGCAGTAAAAAAGACACACTGTGTGTGTGTGAGTTTTGTTTTAATCAGAATTCTCTCTGCTGCTATTTCAGCTCACTTAGTCTTGACTTGGCCTACGCAAATCTGAAGCCGTGTGTTATTGTCATTTATATTTATTCATGAAATTCAGTCATCTCTTAGCCTGCCCCAGGTGAAACATCCCAAGTTCTTCAACCATGAGCTCTTAGGAAGCCAGAGCCAAGGTACTCT